GACACTTTGACAAGAAAGAAAAGAAAAAACTTCGAATAATATATATGAAGAAAAAAATATACCAGGGAGAACTCACTGGGGATGACACGGGTGTCCAGATAAAGGAACGTCTTATGTATGGACTTTATGATAAGGACCTCTTATCGTCTTCGAACATTTGCCACTAACCAAGCAACCCAATACATATTCAACACTACCGAGACATGGCATCTCATTTGCTAAGACGGTGTCAAGATGTATTGGATGAACAGTCAAAAAGGCAACACGAACAGATATCTGAGCTCTCTTTTGTCCATATATTGTCTATTTTATATTAAATTTACAATTTTTCATTAGACCACAAAATCATACTAATAATCTAATTAACAATACAAATTCCAAGGTAAGGCACAGTGCAATTGAGATTCCCAGAAGGAATCCAGCCAACACATTAGTTTTTCAGTAAATACAATATCTCCTAGATNNTTGGATGAACAGTCAAAAAGGCAACACGAACAGATATCTGAGCTCTCTTTTGTCCATATATTGTCTATTTTATATTAAATTTACAATTTTTCATTAGACCACAAAATCATACTAATAATCTAATTAACAATACAAATTCCAAGGTAAGGCACAGTGCAATTGAGATTCCCAGAAGGAATCCAGCCAACACATTAGTTTTTCAGTAAATACAATATCTCCTAGATTACACCCCTCTAGTAAGACAAGAGGGCATATTTCTTACGTTCTATGATGAAGAATACCATTTCGTGCATAAAGGGCTCGACTCCTTATCCACGATTTGAGAATCCTCCGTCAAAACAGTATGTCCTTCGTTGTATACATAATTAGCCCCCGAAAATGAGGCCAACCACCATATGTTGAATTGCCTCCAGCAGAACACAATAATGATACACATTGTCTAAAAAAAAGGAATATGCTACTTGTACATAATACGGTGTGCATAACAATGTTTACTCCCTCACATAGAGGGGGACCCACTTCGAATATATTATATTTTATTCGAAGTGGGTCCCGCTTCATGTGAGGGATGGACACCATTATGGACACCGCATTATGTACGTGTAGCATCACCCAAAAAAAACTTTGTACAACAAGACTGCTCCTTGAAGAATGAAAGCCACTTCAATTCCAGAGACTATCCCTGCCAATGATAGACAAAAATTAGCAACAATGGGAATCATGCTGGATATTATTAAGTCTATCAACACCCACTTTTTCTCAGCAGCATGTAGAGCAGTAGATACATGCCATGGAAAAAGATGTTAAGCACAGCCAAAGATCCTCAGTAACAAAGGTAGAAAATACAACACAATGAAACATAATTCCTGGATTGACAAAACCAAGCTTCTGCATACTGATATGTACCATAAGAATTGAACCCAAAATCCTACATAACATGCATGGCACGTATAAATGAAATTTATAACAGAACCATCTGTACGCATAAATTTGATTAATGTGCATATATGACTACAAATCTGATGAATAAACAACACACATCTTTTAATTTAAAGAGACAGTAGCTTAAAGAAACGCCAAATATGAAGCTCACAGTCAAGGTCACAACTTGATAGCACTACAAACATATATTTAAAACCCCTGCACATATATTCATACAAGCACAAGGGCATCGATATGTGTATAAATTTGTATTTGTGTGCGCACTTGTGCAAATGTATTCATAAGTTGGGGGGTCGGGGGGTGAAAAACATACTCAAGTAAATCTATATAAGCCAGTCCATCAAAGGCATCCGCTCCAAAAGCTGAACTTTAGATGTTTGATTTCTGATATTTTTGTCTAATGCTTCTATTAGCACAGTATCTCGAGCCACTTGACCTTCCATTTCTTCAATTTCTGAATTAAGTCTCTTTAATTCACCCTTGTGCAGTAGTATATCTTTCCTCTTATTTTCAATACTCTTCATTAGCCTTTTCTTTTCATCCATGAGCCTTAATGCTTCACCAGCTGATAACGTGGCATCTTTGATTTCATCAAGTCGATTCCGTAGCCATTTCACATTCATCTTCATTTTTTCCGCATCTTGGACAGCTGAATAACAAGACTCTAGCATAGAAACATCAATCTCTTTCAACTGTTTCTTCTGTAGGTCTTGCACCACTTCACAGATACCAAACAGAACAAGAGTCTTCATACGATCAGACTCCAATAAACAATCTTTAGTAATATCGCCATGCTTTTCAGTTATGGAATTCAGGGTCAGGGCAAGATTTGTTTTGCTGTTAGTGTCACTTGCTTGATTTTTGTCCACAGCAATACCATTGCTGTTAGTGTCACTTGCTCGATTTTTGTCCACAGTAATACCATTGGACTTCCCAATAATATTTGGAGCTTGCTCAGTTTCCTGACTAGGTAATGGAGTAGTAGTAGTTCCATTATTTATTTGAGATCTTGATTGAGAAACATATGTCATCTGCTCTTGCCATCTGGAAAATGTTACAGAATGCCGATTACATTTTCCAGTTACTTTTTCTTGATAAGCTGCAAAGCATAAATGTGTTCAAATATTAAAAGAGGCAATAATAAAAAAGGATTTATGTGAAAATCCTCACAAGGCACCAATTTAAGGCATCCCATGATTTAAACACGAATGAACCTACTAGTAGTTAGGCCATTTCAGATTATTATTTTAACTTGGCACGCATAAATGATTGAGAAAATTTTCAGAAACGTGGTATGGCTTGATATATTGTGAAGCTTTTCTCACACTTGATTCAACTCAAGAGACCTCAAAGTTGTTTAAAATAGACAATGTATATGACTCGCCATCAACTTCTGGTCGGCTTAGATCACCAATCTTGGAATCTAATTGCTTGTTTGAACTTTACACAGATCAATATGCTCATTTAAGCGTAATGAGCTCTGATATGGATTTGGAAATCCATTTTAAAAATTCAACGTCGTTAAAAGTAGTAGTTGTAGCTTATATGATCTACAGTAATTCTTAATTCAACTTGAATATACCTTTAGCAGGATTAAATATGGTGATTACTGGTGTATAATGTCCGATGTAATGTAAATCTAGAGATGTTTTGCAGGAATTAATACTTGTATAAGCCGCATGCATGTCACTTAAACACAAATAAAGTGAAAAATGAAGAAATCAAAAAATTTTACAAGAAAAAAGAAAAGATTAGAACCCTTACAAAGCTGGGACATGGATCTAGCTTTTGAAGGGCGGCTTCTGCAGCGTCGATACTGTTGTGGTGGTAGTGCTGGGCTATAAAACTGGGGCCGAACTCTTCGTCTAGAGGTACGCCTGGTACTCGTACCTGCAGGTGACTGCTCCCTTGAAGCTTCTTCTGATGGGGGCGGTGATAGGGGCTGTGAGACACCATCGGCGGCGGAGGTGGTGGCACTTTTGGCTGTGGGAGTTTTGAGTGAAAACCCAGGTGGCGGAACAGGCAAATCAGGCGTGGGTAAGGTTACTCTCTCGACCTTTACCATCTTAGAATCCAGTAAGTACTGTTCAAGTCGAAGAATTACTGGGTGTGAGAAAGAATGGGGGAGAAAGAGAGAGACTATAGATTGTATCGAAGACTAAGGTCAAGTTTTGTTCTTGAAAAGTGAATCGTTCAGAATTCAGACATTTGGACAAGGAAGAAGACACTTGTCCAGAAAAACAATGGGTGGGGCTGCGAGGGGTCCCTGTGTGAATTGTGCGGGCATGCTACAAACTGCATTGGACGAGAGGGATATGGCAACGAGAGCAGATCCCTTCAGAAATATTTAAAACATCTTATTTTATTTTTTATTTTTAGAATAGACATTGAATTTGGAGATATATCATAATTGATATAAGAAGCTACATATTTCAATATTTCACTTCTTAAATTATTTAAATTATATTTGAATTGATCGATCTATTATGTTTGAACATTTTAATGTCACACTGTCCAAGAGCTCACACGTCTCCACGCTCCATTAGATGGTCGACCGACCTTGCAATAACCTCCTGGTCACACCCTCTACGGACTCATCCGAAATGGGCCAAGCATTCCCATTAAATTCTCGAGCGACACCAAGAAGCGCATCCCTCGCATCCTCAACCACAGGCGTCTCCACCATCTCACCTCCTCCTGGTCTACCTTAGCCACTTCACAGTAGAACAACACACGTTAAGTTGTTTCTGGCATCCGACATCGCCAACACTGCACCCCAACATTAGTTCCACGCCTTCTAAGATCGACCAGCGTTAACATTTTACTTCGTAAAATCTCACATTAAGATTACAAGTGAACTCAAAATGACAAATTAGTTTGTCTGTCAATAGGGAGAAAGTTAGGGGCTATTCTCTTTGTATTTTTGTTTTGTGTTTTGAATTTTGAATTCATTTTGTATTTTGTGTTTTGAGTGTCTGTTTTGAAATTTCTGAAAATGCGTTCTTTTTACCATTCTGAAAAATTGTTTCTGAAAATATAAAAATGGAAAACGCGTTTACTTTGAAATTTTGAGAATTTTTTTTAATAATATTTTATTCAAGAAATTTGATTATTCAATAAGTTTTAATAGTTTAATGTTAATATAGTATTATTTAACATATAAATTTTGAAATTTGTGAATCTTGAAATATTTTTTTACAAAATATAAAAAACATAACCTAAATTAAATTTAGCAAATCATTATTTTTGTCTTTGTACGTAACTTACGACAATAATTAATTAGCATCAAGTTACAATCAAACATAATCAAGTTGCAAAAAAGGAGAGCACTAATCTCATGTTGACATGTTAATAAATATTTTGAAATCAATTTTATCAAGTTCATGTTAGTTCTCACAATTCTTGCCAAATACAATTTTAATCGTCTAAACACGATAACTATCATAAGTGATAATAAATAACATTACTCCTTGATTATAGATAAACTACGTACAAGTAAAAAGACAGATCACAAATATTGTCAATATCTAAAAATTAAAAGCAATCGCATTAATGATTAACCACATGAACTTTCTTCTCTGATTCTTAAGTGTTAAAAGCAAAAGTCACTGAACAAATGGAGTGATAAACCGTCTGTCAAAGTACAAACAAATTCAGAGGATGCCAAACTTTTTAGAGTGAAGAATGAAGAAGAAAAACTGAAGAATGTCGAGAATGGTGATGAGTGATGAAATGAGAAAGCCTAATCATCAAGCTCAATTGCATACTGAAACTTGAAAGCACAAACAATAATGAAAGAGAGATGCTGCTTCACAGTTAAACAGCAATTAAATAAACACCAAACTAAAAAAATTCAATAGAAGTCTCCATCTCAATTTCACATTCAGCTAACTTCTCAATACGCCAATGACTAATCTTCATGACCAAGCGAAACTAACTACAATAAGAATTTCATCATCCAGTAAGCATTAACTAAAATAATTGAGACTCCTGTGAAATTGAAATGTATATAAAACTTTAGCCAAACTGCTCCCCAACGGCTAGTTTTTCACCCTCCTCTATATATACTGCAACATATACCACACAGCCCCACTATCATCCCTGCAACATCCCTCCCTCTAAGACTGCAATATGGCTAGTTTTTCAAGGTCCTTGTGTTTTTCACTTGGCCTCTTTATCATCTTCTCGAGCTTCTCAGAAGCCAGAGACCACTTGATGGGTGGAAAATCCGATGCGTGGAAAGTCCCTTCTTCTGAATCTGATTCTCTCAATCACTGGGCAGAAAAAACTCGATTCCAAGTCGACGATTCTTTAGGTATATATACTGTTAAGTAATAAAATTTATTGAAATCTTCTGTTATGTGAAAGTTTTTCTGCTATTTTTCTTGGAAATTTGATGGGTCCAAGGATTCAGTGCTGCAAGTGGCCAGAGGAGACTACATTACATGTAACATATCGAGTCCAATAGAACTTACACCGATGGCAATACGAAGGTGAAGCTCGAGCGGTCGGGGCCGTACTACTTCATTAGTGGAGCGAACGGGCACTGCGAGAAGGGTCAACAGGTGATTGTGGTGGTGATGTCTGAGAAGCACCGCCGCTTCATTGGAGTTTCTCCATTGTCATCTTCGGCGGAGGTTGAGGGTCCGGCAGTTGCTCCCACAAGCAATGCTGCAAACTTGAAGGGGAGCTTTTTGGTGGCACTGGGGGCTCTTGTGGGATTTCTTCTGATGTGATGGATTTTGTGGGATTTCTTCCCAAACATAAGGAAATTAGAAACCAAGATATTTTCCAAGACACAAAGTTGGGATAAAAATCGGTAGTTGTTATCAACTGCTCTATCCAAAAAATTAAATACATGTGGAGATTAAGTGAGAAAATATCACATTAGCAATAAATTACATCTACAATTGCACAACCAATAACTTGCGAAGGGGAACCCATATCTTGGAGAATAGAGCATGCAAACAAAATTCACATATTGAATCACATGCATAATAAGTCCAAAATCACAAGAACTTAAACAAAAGTCCAAAATCCCCGTGCCGAATGGTAGTATGCTACAGTGGAGTCGAATATTGAATATAGCACTCATTGCCCACGTTCAACTAGGCATTCTATGCATGCCTTTGGCCAAGATACTTATTCCCAGCATAACCAAGTGTGATATTTTTGTCATCTAGGGAACACAGAAGGCAGATGCACATCGTTGGGAAACCTACAGCTATGTTCAATTCTTTTTTATGCAACAGAGAGAGAGAATTCAAGGGTAGCCAAACAGTGGGGCTGGCTCATTAGTCAAAATTACATGCAGGCATGGCAATTTCAAAAACTTTAAACTCCAATAATTCATCTTATAGTGTGAAGTGGAAAAAAAAATTACAGTCAAATCCATTCATAACACATTAATAATCTCACTCAGAACTTCTAACAATTTATGCAAAAATCTTCATAATAGATTTTCAAAGCTCACATGGTTGGCATAGAAAATCAGTTAATTAAGGCAGAAACAATATGAACCTTGATTGCTTTCAAGTTTCAACAGAAGGTAGATTAACCATAATTTAGCATATTAATTAATGTCTGTGACTAACATTGCATTTCGTTGATTGCTTAAGAACAACAAAAACACTCAATCCCAAACTCACCACCACTGCAATCAACCAATCACCACCGCCGTCACCACCACCGCAATCAACCAATCACCATCGCCGTCACCACCACCACTGCCTACCATCGCTGTCACCAGTCACCACTGCCAACACAACCAACGCTGCAATTTCCAATCAACACAACCGAAATCAATGGGTCGAAATCAATCAACACAACCAAAATCGAAAAAATCAAAAAACCCCAAACTTGCATATCGAAAAGAGAGAACTTCACCTTCACCCTGTCGCGAACGACGCCAATGGGTTGCCGATGTCGAAGAGAGAGTAGGCAGAGACGGGCCAAACCACAGCAGCGTCGCGACGCTGCGTTCACGGAAGAGTCGCCACCCCACGCCAGCTCCAATACCGGCTCATCTCCTTCATCCAGAGGGAAGGAAGAGAGGGAATGGATTGGAAGAAAGAGGAAAGAAATTGAAATTGCGGCAATGGAGGTGTTAAAAATGGCAATTTCCCGTGTTTTCCTTTTTTCCCCTGTTTTTGCTTGAAAACAGTCAAAACGTTGTTTTTATTGTTTTGTGTACAAATTTTTTATCGTTTTCCAAAACGTGTTTTCAAAAATAGGAAAGGGAACGCGTTTTCATTGTTTTGAAAAACTCAAAACAGAAAACGACCCAACACGACCAAAGAGAACACCACTTTAGCATACACTTTATGAAAATTGCTACCACAACCACCCCCGCCAGTCAACCAGTCACCACTGCCACTGCCTACCATCGCCACTGCATACACAGCCACCACTGCAATCAACCAATCACCACCGCCAGTCACCACCACCACTGCCTACCATCGCCGTCACCAGTCACCACTGCCAACACAAGCACCGCTGCAATTTCCAATCGACACAACTGAAATCAATGGGTCGAAACCAATCAACACAACCAAAATCGAAAAAACCAAAAAATCCCAAACTTGCAGATCGAAAAGGGAGAGAACTTCACCTTCGCCCTGTCGCGAACGACGCCAATGGGTTGCCGACGTCGAAGAGAGAGTAGGCAGAGACGGGCCAAACCACAGCAGCGTCGCAAAGAATGGGTCGCGACGTTGCGTTCACGGAAGAGTCGCCACCCCATGCCAGCTCCGATACCGGCTCATCTCCTTCGTCCAGAGGGAAGGAAGAGAGGGGATGGATTGGAAGAAGAGGAAAGAAATTGAAATTGAGGCAATGAAGGTGTTACAAATGGCAATTTCCCGTGTTTTCCTTTTTTCCCCTGTTTTTGCTTGAAAACAACCAAAACGTTGTTTTTATTGTTTTGTATACAAATTTTTTATCGTTTTCAAAAACGTGTTTTCAAAAATAGGAAAGAGAACGCGTTTTCATTGTTTTGAAAAACTCAAAACAGAAAACGACCCAAAACGACCAAAGAGAACACCACCTTAGCATACACTTTATGAAAATTGCACGTACCTGCCTACGTAATTAAATCACTAACAAGGTGCAAAGATTGGACCGGAGCTGTTTTAGGCCTGAAAAGGTTCGATGTTGCAGCCAAACACCACAAAAAGTTAATATTTTGAAGCCATCTCCAACCCCTCATCACAACCCCGTAAGAAGTAGATCGTGCCACCATAAGATACTTCTCCAAATCCTCGCCGTCGAGCCACAACTTCATTTCGTGCATCCAGCTGCCCAAATGAAAGAGTAGACATCGACCAAAAGAGTCCATCCATGCTCAATGACGATGAATTTAAGATCAACAAGAAGCTAACATTCTTGAACCAAAAGTAAGACATTCATTTACAGTGGAGATTAAACATCTCTGTTAATAATATCGAATTGAAGAAGAAGAAAAACCTAAGTTTTCCCAAGTTACATACGTTTGAAACCATGCCAATTTCAAACAACTAAAAGATAATTCCAGTCCGAAAAGAAAGAAGAAAATAAGAGCCAAAAAAAAAATTGAGGATTTCAAGGGGAAAAAGGTGAATTGAGCTGAAAACTATAAACGTCTAGTACAATAAATTGATTAATAGAAACATTTCCGTATTATCAATTATTTCGTACATAAAGAAATGGTGATAGACTCTGAAATTCAGAACGTTTTTGAGCTGCTCTTCTGAAAGGCTTTCTATTGCTCCAAAACAATCTTTCACAGCCACTATGATTTCTTACCACATCACCTCGGTCCTCGTCCACGGCCAATCGCGTTGTCTTTGCAACAGACTTCTGCTTTTGCAACTTCTTTCGTAATTCAGTTCGTCTTAAAGGTGTTTGAGGTTCTTCAAATTTACCACCAGTAAATCTGCCAAAAATTAGCAAGGACTAAGTACGAAAGCCACAAAAACTCAAAAAGGTTGTGCTATTTATATGCATTATGTCGTGCAAGAAAATTCAATAAAAGATACAAAGCAAACAACTTGACAAGATAAACTTACCTCTCCTGTCCTATTGGCACCAATCCTCCGATATCCTCTCCTGGTTCAAGAATACACGCTGGACAAACGTAAATCTTTGGTGTTGAAGAGATTTTCATGCAATCGAAATGATACCATTCATTGCATTTATCACAAGCAAGAACTGCTCTCTGGTCGTAAGGTCTTCGACAGATGCAGTAAAGCATACTTCGATCCCTCAGTAACTGCACCAGCCAAGTATAAGAACTAGAAACAAAACATAAGTGCATTAGCCTCCATAAATAATTTGCCATATGGTACCTTTAGTTCCTTTACACAGTTGACAGGTAAATTTTCACCCTCAATAATGAGTTCAAAAACTTTATCCAGTTGAAGTGCGCCACCATCCATTGAGACCTGTTTGTAGAAAGAAACGAGTAATTTTCATTAGAAACTATAGTGTGCACCTTTTGATTTCAATTGAACAGGGGAAAATGGAGGACCTTCTTGGCCGTATCTGCCCATCGCAAGCCAAAGTCCCTCAATGCAGATAGTTGCTGTCTATAATAATCTTCTGGAGGAATGCTTATGGCCAGTCCCTTAGGCATGTTACAAGGTAAATCAGTCTATATGTCTACTAATTTGCAGGATAACGAGTGACCAGAAATCACCTTTTTCATAAGAATATACATCAAGGTCCCTCAAATATCAGTCTCTATGTATACTAATTTACTACCTTTAATATTTAGGCCAAATATTATCGAGGACTAAAGGTACCCAAGCACACGAGTGTCTTTGGCCACAAACTACGGATTTGACTGACATTATTTAACTCTTCCTAATGTCCACATCTTTATCGTGCCTTCCATTAACACAGTAAAGAAAATTTGGTTTCAAACCCCACTATAATGCCGTAAGACCAGTCTGGAACGTCATGTGACAAGAACAAAGAAATATGTCCTTCAGAGAGTACATATCTAGAGTGGCGATACCTCTTTAAGAAGCCGCTGCATCTGCTGAATTGTGGGCTTCTCAGCACTTTCCAGTAATTTCTGAGTTCTAATTTTCCATGAATTCCTTGCTAATGCCAGCTCAAATTTTCGGTATCCCTTACCATCACAAGTACCTGCTAGTTCTATTGCCTGTGCAAAAAGAAAATAATATCACTCAATATTAATAGAAAACCACCATTTCATAGACCCTGTAACGAGACCATGTGAAATTATAAAAAAGATTGTAAAACAATATCCATATATCATCAAGCAAACAATGCTAACATTAATCAATAAGAGAACATTTAACAGATACCTTGTAAGCAATGCACATTTTTTCAATTACTGCACTGAGATCTTGATCAAGATGAGCTAAAGCAAAATCCACTAATTCTGTTAAGCAAGCATTGCATGCATGCGCTTTCTTAACAATTTGGTGAAGTATCCTTCTTTCCTCAATCCTGACAAAAGAAGTGTGTGAAATCACTTTCAGAAAAAAAATCCTCATGACCAGATATTCCTACATTACTAGGCCCCTGTTTGAACCCCATTCTTTAAAAACTCATTTTCAACCACATTCTCCCAAAAAAATAATTTTACATATAAACCCAAAACTTTTTCCTAGTTTTTAACCACGCACTCTCCAAAAAATCACTATTACAAAATCTATTCTCCCAAAAAATGAGGCTCAAAAAGCGGCTAGATATTATGATGTAAATAAATAACTAAATATTGCACAAG